TTGCCTCAATCTCACCAATAATAAGTCACTTTGCTATTCTTCATGTCAAATTTTGCGATTCATGCTCAAATTGATATGAGAAGGAGGACTTTTCCAGCATCCATGAAAATAAGCAACAGCACCTCAAGCAATTCATGCAATTAGTATCGACATTAACAGTTAGCAACATAGAACCCAAGCATATGAAGCAGCATTTGAGCGGTGGGACTTTCTCCAGGTGTCAATGCTAACCGATAAACGTTTACCCCCCATTTTGTACGCTACAAATATGACGTTGGACAGCAACCAGTTGCGCCGCCCATTCAAATATAAAACACACTTAGAAAAAACAATTAAATAACACCTATATGGAAAAAAGAAAAACTGAAGTAAGCATGCAATATTCTAAAAGCAAAGAAGGGTAGAGTGATGGAAGAAAAGGAGAGGAGAGGCTCATTGGAAAGAAAGTGAGGGAAGAATTATGCTTCTAAGACAATAATGGCACAGTAGGTCTGCAGTAAAGGTTGCACCATCACAGAGCTTCATCCTACAGTAACCAATTCCGATAGGGAATGCACAACTAACCGCTAACCCACCAAAACCAGTGCCCCGGAAAGGTAGTGGTGAAAGAAATCAATGCCTAAGCCGCAATTCATATATGACATTCAGATAAACGACCCTTTAAGTCAATAAATGCATATGGCCTATAGTGAGGAGATATAGATTTCTCAGTAATCGCACTAAGAACCCCGACATCCCTATGAGCCCTATAATACAGGCACTGTGCTCAGTAAAAGCGAAACTTGGAGAAGCTCGGGACGAAAGTGGGGGATTCAAGGGAAAGAAGAATGGGGTATGTTTTACTGCATACTTTTCGGGTAAAAAGTAATTCGAGTCTTCCGACTAGAATAAAATCAATAACGAAGGTAGAGTTTATCACAAGGATAATTGGGTAACCCCGTTAACGATTCATTCCGTACAGAAACAAAAGAGAAAAAGCTCAAGTTGAAACGGCAAAAAGTGGAAATGGTGCAGTTTTTTGAAACAAGAGATCTTAATTTGCTTACTACAATTCATGAAGTAAAGTCTTACATCTACATAATTTCTAACTTCCTCTAAATTTCCGTTATATTTTTCTTGCAAATTTACATTCAACTTCCAAAGCAGAAATATTCGCTATTCTAACGTCTAATTTTCTATTATTCATGTGCAAAAATCTCAGGTTTTCAAAGAGCCCAAGACTAAGAATTGAAAAATTTTCCTTTTAATTACTTTTATTCAACTCAAAAGCTGGCTGCTTTTCGACCTATTGTACCATATGATCCCAGTGTGGATAAAGAAGGAAAAGATGAATGAAGCTGTGAAAACTAGCAGGAATGAGCTTTTCTCCCAATAACGATTTGCTAACAAAGAAGATTCCAGAACTGATCATTTACAACTTCATTCATCAGCAATTGGGAACAAAGAGATGTTGCTGTGACTGCAGATGTTAATTTAATGTGATATCTTACATCAAAGAAACATTTACAGTTCCAGAACCTATGAAATAAAAGTAGGAAGAAGAGGATGTGTGTGTGATAGTGAGGATAGTAAGGACAGTTAGACGTAGAAGGTGAAGAATAGGAAAGAGCTCTACTACGAAAATAGGTTTTATAACGTACCTCTCCTTTAGCAATAGACTCTCCTGGGACAAATAGTTCAGGGAAAATATTGTCCAAATACCATTTAAATGATTTGCATCCAAGTCTTTCGCGTAATTTTTTACGCTCAGATATGTCACCGATTTCACCCTAAATAAGGATAATCCATCAAATTCCAACAAATTATTGCGATTTTTCCCAAAAAGAATGGCTTTCAAATACTTTGCAGGAAGCAGGTCTCTATAAGATGCAAAAAGCTTAATTTCTAACTTAACAATAAATTTTAGACCAGGCATGGTGGCATGCGCTCGTCGATGCCTACAAGTCGCGGCTTGTATGACTTATGTACTGAATTTGGCTATTAATGCTCATATACTCGGCGACGCTCCGTCGCCATGCCAGTAGTATGACTTATTGGAAACCGAGTATCGCAAAACACAAATAAATAAACATAAACCAAAAATGTCATTCAATTAACTAACCAGTTGGTTATTAATTCGTTCATAGTAATACTTCTTGTAGTCATCTAACCATACTTCAGCTAATCGGACTGAATTTCTCTTGAGAACATTGACACCAGACCTGTGTTCACAGATTATGAAAAATCAGTTGGGAAAAATTTTTTGAGTGATACTTCCAAAAAATCAAGTTGCCTCCAAGAAGCCTAATGACTTAGGAATTACCTCCACTTATAAGGTGATCGTTTGCGGAACACATGGCCCACATGGGAACATGGCACAATTTCTAACGTTCCTCCACACATCCAGATCTGCAGCAAACAGATTAGTCAATACGACTGGAAAGTTACCAGGTTAATTACAAATTTACCTTAAAGGAAAGCTCCAGGTTCTCTCCTCCCCAGATGTCAAAACCAGGATCGTAAGTGCCCAGTTTTTCAAAGTAAGCTTTATCGATGGAAAACAGTCCTCCAGCCATGGTCGGTGACCTAAACATTGCAACTCAAAGGAATAAAAATTGTTTGAAAATCACTAGAGTTTATTACACACCGAACAGGATCAATAGCCCTTGATCGTAACTTTCTATCCCGTTCCGGGATAGCGTGCCAATTGAACTGCAGACCCCAGTCAAATCCACCAACATTTGTGAAATAAGCCTAAAAATACAAAAGCTACCCTTTTTAGCGATGACAAAAACACTTTACTCGCGAAAAACGATG